GCTTTGTTTTTTCTGTTCAGAGCACTGACACTTAGTATCACAGCCCTGCAATGAGACAGTTCCTCAGTCCCAGAGTCATCCATTGCTGCCATCAAATTGCAACTTCATAAGCTGAGGGTCATATTGCCTGTGTTCTGCTAGCATTAGTGCTCAAGCAGCTAACTATTGGGCTGTCGGAAAAGTCATAACATATTTTTTCTATGTTCGTTGCAAAAGTGCATCATGACTTTTCCGTCAACCCAATACAAGTTAAGATATATGGAAATCCCTTGCTAGAGTTGTAAACTCTGTGCTTTTGCCTTAGTCACTGTCAAAACCCAGTTACTGGCATGGCGTCTGGCCCCTAGTAAGCACTACTGTTTAATTGAACTGAAACCTTTGGAGCAGCGGTTCTCAACCATCCTAATGCCGCGACCCCTTAATACAGTTCCTCATGTTGTGGTGACCCCCAACCGTAAAATTATTTTCGTTGCTACCCTATAACTGTAATTTTGCTACTGTTATGAATCGTAATATAAATATCTTTTTGTTTTCCGGTGGTCTTAGGTGACCCCTGTGAAAGGGTCGTTTGACCCCCAAAGGGGTCGCGACCCACAGGTTGAGAACCGCTGCTTTAGAGGAAAGGGGCCGCGGTTTGAATGCCCCTTGGCAGAGGGAAAAAATGTGCTAAGAGATTATAAAGACAAGTTTAAGTACTACTTCCTAAAGACAATGATATTCTTTACCCGGTCACTAGAAATTCTGTTATTAGGGAAGGAAACATAGTAGATGAAAGTGTAGGGATAAAAGAAGCCCAAAGCAAAGGTGACATCAGGAGAGAAAATTTTGGTTTCACTCAGATCCTTGTTTAATACAATATTTAAAAACAAAACTTTTCCCAGACCTTCTTTTTATCCTTCCCCCTTCACATTATCTTCAGTAACAGTGCTTGCCAATTCTCAGGTCTCCACACACTGTAGAATGTCAGGGAGCTGGCAAACTCCCAATCTGCAGTTAGTAAGGCTGTGTCTGGTGCATGTATAATAATATACAGGTCCCTGAGTTTCCTCTCTTTTGTCTAAAAATGAAACTCAAGTAAACTGTCACTTACTTTTTAGTGTTGTTAATAATAAGTAGTTCCTAATTTGATGCCCCTACCTCTATCTTAGTGTGAGAATTAGTAAAATAAATAACACTACACCATTTTAAATTTTGGAAAGAAAGGCACTATGAAAACATGAAGTATTTATTATTGCTTGAATTGGTAAAACAAACAAAAACCACTTAAACCTTGTTTGTTTAGGAAGTTTTGAGACCAAAGACCATAATAAAACAGACATAGGAGTTTGCTTTAGGAGAATATAGTCCCTGTTCCACACCTGTCTTTACTACTTTTTTGTGTGCTCTATAAACTCCTTGATCATCTAACCGAGATATTTCCTAATGAGCCGTTCCAACAGTTTAGCTCTATCCCATTCTCAGCATGCAATGGCATAGCTGCAACATCATGCAATCAATTCCTAAAAGGCACAAAACAAGATTTTGACGTGAGGGGATATCCCTCATTTAAAGTTCCCTTCTGGATAAGATACTGGAGGCCTCGTTGCAGGGAATTCTTGAGTGAAAACAATAGGAGGATGAGGGATTGTGAAGGTTTCTTTCCTAAAGAGAAATATCAATAAAATAACCCTGTTGACAGTGTAAAGCAGTGCTTCTATCTGGGGTCAAGGCTAGAGCAATGGACCCCTTATCCCACTCATCCTCTTCCTCTGATAAAGCCCCAACCAGGACTGAGAAGTCTTGCTTCATAAGAGCCTCGAGGCCTTTTGAAAAAATCCTTGAAAAAGAAGGGGACAAAGGAAAACTGGAGTTAAGAGAACTGTCCAGTGTGTTTCTGGTGGCTGGTCCAGAAGATGCCTCAGTTCCTGCTTCTCACCTGCCTCCTCATCACAGTCACACCTGTGGCACCAATGGGTGAGTCTTGTGTCAAGTACTTGGCACACAGCACTTTTTGTAGGAATTTGCTATTGTGTACAGAGTATTAAGAGCTGGATCCCAGTAGCTTAAATACTGGGTCCAGAATAGTGTAAGAAAAGTCATCGAGAACTTAGGAGGATAGATTTCCAGAGAATTTCTGTTTCGTGTTCCATTTAGCCTCTTGCCTAGGCAACCAAAATTTCCATGGATTGACCACATCCAACAGCTTTCCACTAGTTAAATATTTCTTGGAGTATGTGTAAAAGGAATTCTAGCCTCTCTATATTCTAGGCACTTTTATAATTCCAACTTTAAGAGCAAAAATAAGATTCTAAGAATTAAGGATGTAGCTTTTTCTTTAATGATTTCAAGGGACTGACTGAAAGCTATGTCCCCAGGAAAGGCACAGATCTGGTAAATCAAGTTTCTTAGTCTTGACATCTGAAAATATGACTTTTTACATAGACTGAGTGAATCTTAAACTGTCTTCCTCCTCGGGTTTGGCACAAGACTGGCCAACAAGGCAAAGAAAAATTTTCAATTCTAGCTACTAACAAATGTCTCTCTCCTTTTTCCAATAGAATTTAAGTTCCAATTGGAAGACAGGGTGAGACGAGGTTGAGATGGCGAGACCATTCCTTCTTGGCACTTTTGAGTGGCTCAGTATTTCATTGACCCTGATTTATTTCTTCAGGGTAACTCAGGCCTTGCTCTAGCATCTTTAAGGGTACACATTAAAAATAGGCTTGAGACCCTAAGGATATGAAAACAATGTAATGCAGTATCCTGGATGAAACCCTGGAACAGAAAGAGAGACAAAGGCAAAAAGCAAGGAACTCTAAATAAACTATGGACTTGAGTTAATAATAATGTATCGTCACACTGGGTCATTAATTGTGACAAAGATACCATGTATGATGTTATCTTAATGGAGAAACTGAGCACCAGGCATGTGGAAACTTTGTTCTATCTTCTCCATTATTCTCTAAATCTAAAACTGTTCTAATAGTCTGTTTTAAAAAGATAGGTTTGAACTAAGTTTAATCAGCCTGTATTTGCTGCCCATAACCAAGCAAGAGTCCCTTAAGGAAAAGTCACCCTCCCCTCAACTTCCGCTCCCCTTTCTTTCCACTCTCTCCCTTCTTGCTCTCCTCTAGTACCTCCTGTACTCTCCAATCATACATTCCCCAGATTCCTTGTTTGCTTTTTCTTCTTTTTTTCCCCCCCAGCCCTTCTAGGACATTTGACTGCATGCCAGAAGAAAAATAAAAGTTTGGGGGTCGCAATAAGGGGAGGAGGATGCTTGTCCTGGGAGGAGAGGGGAAGTGAGCGAAAAGGAGAGAGAAGGAAGGGGGAGGTAAGGAGGTGGGGAAGCAGGAAGCGAAGTGGGAGAGAGGGGAAGAGGACAGGGAGGGAGAGGGAAGGAAGGCGATGGGGGCTTCCGGACTGAGCCAGCCGGCTGAGTCTGCAGACAATCTGAGAAACGGCATCTGGTGTGATGACCTGGCGGGTTGCAAGACTCCTGGTTCTGCAAACCCCGGGAAGAAAGTGCGGGGACATTGACGTTATCTCTCTGCACTTGGCAGCCGGGAATTGCTGGCCCTGGGGGTGCACAGACTTCCCTGAGTCCCCACTTAGGAAGGGCAGCCGGCAGGCAAGAGGGCCCCTGCCTCAAACTTTGAAAGGAACCCACAAGGCTGTTCTTTTTGAAGGTCTCCCATTTGTGAATAAGTATCAGCAATTTAGGATGCATTATGCCTAATACCTGAAAACAGGAATTAACACCAGTGGCCAGATTATTAAAGGATTGAATTACTGCCTTAAAGGGGAGTGGAGTGGAATGGGTATATTTAATGTTTACAAACATTGTGTGGGTAACATTTTTAAAAGCTATTTATTTTACAAGAGATAGTAGGTAAGTTTCTCCTGTTTGTGCCATATCTCTCCTACAACAGGAGAGGAAGTGAAGTTTTAATAAACAGCAACAGAAATGACAGTTAAATTTAAGGGAAAACTTTATAAATCATGAAATAGGAATTTCTGTAAAAGCCATTAAAAGTTAAGTACCTAACCATTTCTTATAAAATTAGAGCCAAGGAAATGAATCAAATATTTCTATGAATTTATAATCACCTGTGAAATTGCCTTGGAAACCTTGCCTCATAAGAGAACCACAGCTACGAGGGCAGATGAGGGAATTTTTCCCTTTTGAGAGGGGAGAGAATCAGCATGAGGACATTTCTTTCCCTGAAGGAACATCAAACTACAATCTAGGACACGTTGGGATACCTCAGGGACATTTTAAAGGAGAGGGTTGCTCCTGCCACGTGGAAGCCTACCAGTGTATGATTTCCAGAAAATGCAATATCCTACTTATTTCCTGTCCCAAACTGTCATATTCTTGTTGGAGCCATTAGCACCAGGCCACACCCCCCTCTACAGGCGGCTGAAATTTAGAAAGTAAATTTGAGTTTGAAATGTAGACTGGGAAAATCCAAAATATTTTCTGGATAACTTAGACTTTTACCATTATGGCCTATCCACATTTAATTATTGTGCATTATTTGCTAAAATTGAAATCCCTGTCCACAAAGTGCATCAGCCTTAATGTGAATTCCCTGCCTACAATGGCGGGGAAGTCAGCCTGATGTGCATGAAGAAGGATAGTACTCTCTGGCTAGTGTCCTTTCTAGAATTTCCTGGTTTTATAGATTCTTCATACAGGCAATTGGCCTACATTAATTCAATGTTTCCCTGAAATTGAGGGAAGCATTGAGACGACTGGGGATATTGATGTCTTTAGTCATTAAAATGTTTTTGATGAGATATTTGTCCATGCAATGTATGCACTAAAAGTGCATGCTTGAGAAACTTGGCTGTATTATATACATAGTGATTCATGGCTAATTGGGAATACACAGAGTTCATGGTCTTTTCAATAAGCTGATGGAATACATACCAAAATTCACTTGGAGACTATCTTTGGTAACTACTTGCCAGTATTCTGTGTATTTCAAAGCAGCTGACATGTGCCAAAGGCCTTTTCCTTTTCAGTAGAATGAGTTTTACACATTCATTATCAAGTCAAACTTCCCACCAGTGCTAAATTCCATTTACAATCTTGCTTACAAGTGACCATCCAAATACTTTTGAAAATTTCCAGAAATGAGGAGCTTTCCACGCTGTGATACCACCTCTCCATTACTGGATAGCTGAACGAAATGTGCTTCTCCATAACAATTTGTTCTGTTCTCGTAACAGGACACCTAACTCCTCTTCCACAAGCTTGTTCCAGATATTTGAAAAGCAATATCCTTCAGTCTTCTTTTCTCCAAACTATAGCTCTTAGCTTCTTCCCCAGTAAATAATTTTAGGCCCCTGTCTAAATCTGGTCACCTTCTTCTGGACACCAAGTGTGGCATTCCTTTCATAAGTATAGATATGAACACAATACTTGAAATATTGTCTGACCAGAGCAGACTTCATTGAAACTATAATTCTAACCTCCCTTAGTCTGAACAATTAGCCTTTCATCAAACAATTACACTGGATAAAAAGTTGAGCCCAATGCCAACTCTAAATCTTAGAGAGATTTGAAATAATTTTGTAAAAGGCATTTGTGAAACATGTTGAAGGCAACTTGGGGAATTTTAGACGGGTACTTTGGGGGACTTTAACATTTTTTTCTGAACCCAAAAAGATCACAATGCAAGACCAAGAAGGTGGACTCAGGCTGCTGTCTCTGTGATCTGAAATATCACAAGGTGTTTCTGAGGTGTCCCTTTTGCTTCCAGCCCTAGATCCTTGTTCTGCTTACATCAGTCTGAATGAGCCCTGGAGGAACACTGACCACCAACTCGATGAGTCTCAAGGTCCACCTCTATGTGATAACCATGTGGATGGGGAGTGGTACCGCTTCACGGGCATGGCAGGGGATGCCATGCCCACCTTCTGCATACCAGAAAACCACTGTGGAACCCATGCACCTGTCTGGCTCAATGGAAGCCACCCTCTAGAAGGGGATGGCATTGTGCAACGCCAGGCCTGTGCAAGCTTCAATGGGAACTGCTGCCTCTGGAACACCACAGTCGAGGTCAAGGCTTGCCCTGGAGGCTACTATGTGTATCGTCTGACCAAGCCCAGCGTCTGCTTTCATGTGTACTGTGGCTGTGAGTACCTTTCCTGTGTTCTTTATCTTCCCCCACAAGGCATCAAAGAGAAAAGTGCCATATGAAATTTACTTATGGTAGTGTCTCAGAGTCTGAATAACATGGATTTAGGGCCACAGGTCCCTCCAGATTGTGATTTCTGAGGTCTGTTCTTAGATTTCTGAAAAATTCCTGGAGATTAGAAAGGGAAAGGGGCTAAGACTTTAAACAAAATATTAGAAAATGAAATGTTGATTTAGGTTATTTAAATAGTAGATTTCCAACATTTTTGAGTATGGAGAACCCATTTTATTTCATTTTATTTTGTTTTAGAAGATTAAATCTCATTTATTGTGTGTATAACGAGCGCTTCATACACAGCAAGTGTTCAACAAATGTTAACTCTCCGCTCTTCCTTTACTTCTTAGAAAGCTCTCATGTTCCCAGCCCCAGAGTGGTGCTCTCATCAGGGGACATATCCTCTCATTCTTCAAAATTCTCTTTGCCTTGGCTTGGCTCTTATTATTTTTCTGTTGGTGCTATTTATATATGATGGCTCCTGGAACTGAATACGAATCATGTCTTCACTAGTTAAATACGTATATTTTATCAACAAATATTTTTGAGCTCCTACTGTGTGTCTGTCAAACAGGAAATAGATGAAGGAGAAAGTGCTCCAGATGGAGAAGTTTGCAAAAGTAAACTTGCACAAATGTTTAACACATTCACCCAAGACATGCCTCCTTCTGTGCTGGGCTCTGGGACCACAGGTGTGGCATCTGCCCTTCAAGAGCCAATGGGCAAACTGGTGGCCTTCCATGTGGCTCTCTGGGAGCTGCTCGAAGGACCCCTTTTAAAGATATATATCAGATATCCATGTGGTAGCACTGTGCTCAGTATCCATTGATTTTTTTAAATGATATATAATGGGAAGAAGCTACTTGAGGTCAGTAATACTTTTAAATGAATTTTTGCGTTATCAATCCCATCAAAATCAGTATACATTTAAAACATAGGGCACATAGAAGAGTAAGAGATAATGTTTATTTAATCAACAGCTCATGTTTGGTGATGCTTTAGATTTGCAGAAACTCCATGGACACCCAAGGGCCTGTGGATCTGAAGTTGGGAATCATTGATCTAAATGACAAAAGATGTCTCTGGGTATTAACAGTATCTCTTTCCATTGAGTCTATGTAATCCCTGAACACTGAGAATTCTCTGATGTTGCCTAGACACTTGTACCCCATGATTGAACTCATGAGACTCTCTCCTGAATGAGAGTGTCCCCTGGCCCTCACCCCTCACAAAAGGTCATCTTTATCCTTCTACAGATTTTTATGACATCTGCGATGAGGACTGCCATGGCGTCTGCTTGGATACCAGCGAATGCACTTGTGCTCCAGGAACCGTGCTAGGCCCTGACAGGCAGACGTGCTTTGGTAAGAAACTAACCCTGACGTAGAAACAGGCTATTAAGATCAAACAGACAAATAAAAAACTCTTCCTGACTCAGAGCTCCATGGTTTTTCCAGTTTGTGTCTCTCAACACTTGGAATGGTGTTTGCCTTTTTAGTTCATAACGAAAGCCTTAAGCCAAATTTATATGTAAAAAAATTTATATGTGTTTTTTACGTGTAATCATTTATATGTTTAAAAATACATAATGTTTAGGGACAGTCTAGAATCGTGCTGTGCAATACAGGAGCCACTAGCCATGTGTGATTATGGAGCTTTTGAAATGTGACTGAAAAACTAAATTTTAATTCTACATAATATAAATTTAAAAACTGATACTTGATTCAGTCATTGGAAAACTGAAAATGTTTCAGACGACTTGAGTAAGCAACTATAAATTTTATGACTGTCTAAATATAGATCAAGTACTTCTCATGAAATTGTAGCACCCAAATCGAGGCATGCTAAGTATAAAACACATACTACATTTTGAAGACTAGTTTTAAAAATTGAAAAATATCTCAATGATTTTAATGTTATTATATATTCAAATGGAATATTTTAGACATATTGGATTAAATGTAATATATATTATTAAAATTAATTTTACCAATATTTTTTAACAAATGTTTAATATAACTCCTAGAAAATTTTCAATTACATGTGTAGCTTACTTTGTATTTCTATTGGATAGCTTTAGTCTAGAAGTATCTAAGGACATACTCCTACAACTTCACCAATATAGTGTTTGTTTCTCTGAGTAGTAAGAAAGAGAATTCAGATTACTTGTAGGAAATCCAGAGTTGTCTAATTGTATAGATGTTTTGTTATTTATAACTGCAAGAAAATAGAGTTGAAAAACCCAAGATTGAAGATCATCTCTTTTCTCTTTAATATTAGAAATCTTCTTGTATTCAAACTCAAATTGATTTAAAACAAGTCTAGTGAGAGAGGGGAGGACTGCTCCACATCTTCTCAAGAAGAACAGTAACAAGGTCAGAATGGGATAGGGGATTAGGGTGAAAGGGATGTAAACAGCTTCTTATTTTAGAAAAGCTTTTGTTCTTCAGCCTCCTATATGAAGCCCCCTGAGCATCCTGTGGAGCATGCATAGGCCGTCCTCTAACAGTGGTTAGGGCTCTTGCATGATCTGTTTTGACTGTGATTTATTGCTAAAAAGTTTAAGGTGTGGAGACAGTGGTTCCTATAATCTCTCCTCACCCCTCACACTACACACACACACACACACACACACACACACACACACAGGTCTGTTAGAAAATATTTGGCTTCATTTTAAGGCAGGACTTGTTCATTCATTTTTTTTTTAATTTTAAGTGTTATTGATATACAATGTTATATGAGTTTCAACATTGCAATTAGACATTTACATACGTTTTGATGTGATCACCATGATGTCTAATTCATTCATTTCTTTGCTTTCATTTTAATACAACTTTTGAATAGGTAATATATTTAAATGCTTCCCAAATTAGACAGCATTAAGGTATACAGTGAAATGTCCAGCTCTCTGTCCCCCATTTCCCCCCTCCTACCCCATAGCAAGTAAACTCTTGTGTTATTTTCTTATGTGTGCTTCCAGGGTTTCTTAAGGCAGATATAAAAATGCAAATATAAACATATATTTATCGCCCTTTTTTACACCACAAGTCGAGTATCATACACACCATGCATGTCTCTTGTTTAAGAATTTATCTCTTGAACATCTTTGTCTATCAGCACATAGGGAAAAGCCCCCAGTTTCTACCTGGGGTCTGTCTATCAGTTTCAGGGGATCATGAATTCTCTGAAATTAGAGGCAAAGTTTTGTGTTTATGTGCATGTGTCCGTTTTCCCCTAACTTTTTAAAATAAAATATAATTTTAATTATTTTAAATTATGTAATTTTTTTCAGGCAGAGAGAAGAATATAGGACAATAATATAACAAACACTCATGTACCCAGATTTGACTATAGTTAAAATTTTCTTCCTTTTTTTTTTTTTAAAGATTTTATTGGGGAATTGGGGGGAGGGGAACAGCGTTGGGGAATCAGGGAAGGGGAACAGACAAGTTGCTGTCCTTTTGTTCTTCAGTCTAGTTGTGGAGGATGCCGC